AATTTTTCTTACCATCATCAATGCATTCATTATGTTTCGAAAACACTTAGTGTAAAGTGGGAAATGCTAGATCACAGTTTTGAACTGAGATTTCGATGCCAACTAGTCATTTATTGGCTCAATGTTTTGGATTTAGCTTTTCTCGAACGTTCCAATCAGAGACCGAAACGGGGCGAGCCCCCGGGGCGAAAAGTAAGCGGGGCGAGGCGAGGAAAATTTTGACGGGGTGAAAACAGACGGGGCGAAGCGAGGAAAATTTTGACGGGGCGATGCGGGACGGGGAGAAACTACGCCGGGGCGAAGCGATGCGGGGTTTGAAATATATACTCGATGTTTGTACATGATAAACTTGACAGTATAAATTTCTTATTTATAAGCAATGTATGTGAGTAATTGTTACACACGTTTAACCCATTGGGTCCGGGTGACGAAAATTCCCGTCCTGAGACTTTGTGCACTCAACACTTTTAAAAATATGATTTATTGTTTATTTAATGCTATGGACTGTATGAATATTTGTGTTTTGGAATATTCGTGCGGTTAAGATCATTTGTACTTATTGATGTTTACTGGTTGTTCTTTGATATTTCAAACAATTAGTATATCATTTAATGACTTAATACATGAATCAGTTTGCTAACACTTATCGAGAAAGAACTGCCGCTCTGAAGAAGATAGTTCCTATTATTAAAGTCGTTCAAGCATGATATCTCTGAGAAATATTTTGATCGAACGGTCGCATTTGATGAATAAGGTAGAGTGCAGTTTTTCATATAAAAGGTCACAAAGATCATTCATTCCGAGCTCATGGGTTCTTTTTTCTTTAACTTTCTGCTATCGTAGAATGACGTCAAGCTTTCTCTGTTTTCTTTTCTTTTATATGTTCTTTGAGGCACGTCCGAGTAGATTCTTGTTCTCTCTGCGACTGATGTATATATATATATATGTATATATACCTATTTTGTTCTTATTATTTAAATGAAAACGTGATTGGCCTCAACATATTGTATATTTCTGTGCGTGTGGTGTGGGTGTGGGTGTGGCTATGGGTGTGGGTGTGGGTGTGGCTATGGGTGTGGGGTGTGGGTGTGGGTGTGTGGGTGTGTGGGTGTGGGTGTGGGTGTGGGTGTTGGTGGGGGGCGGGTGTGGGGGTGCGGATATGAGTCTAGTATTCCCTCTTACCCACACCCTAGGTTAACACAAAACCGTGGGTGTGGGTGCTCAAGCACTCTGAGGATAAGCAAAATACCCACATTCACACCCCACACCCACACACCCACCCACACCCTCACCCACACCCACCCACACCCTCACCCACACCCACCCACACCCTCACCCACACCCACCCACACCCATAGAACTCAGCACTCCTTAGACGAACAACACCACCCACACCCAATCCACCAGCAACTACGACTTTTGCACTTGTTAATACGGATGCTGTATGCCATTCTCGTGCATAGTACATGCGACCAGTCGTTGTCCATTCTAGATACATATATTTGATTTGAAAGCAACACTTAGCAAGTATCAAAAGAGTTAATCTGAGGCTTACGTGGTTGCTAAGCTGTAGTGATCGTCGCTTTCATTAAAAGAAAATGTACATGTTAAACTCAAAAAGTGATTTCAACTATTCAATTCAGGTATTCAACTTTTAGGGTGAAGACGAAGCAAATAGAAAAAAGTTTAAAACTCGAATCGAATTATTCGCAAGTTCCACACAACTGTGTCAAATCTGTGACGCTAAAATGGAAAACCACTACATGTTAAAAGAATGAAAAGTAAAAATTGATACCATTTGGGGTGAGGGTGAGGGTGTGAGTATGAGATAAAATATTCGAAAATAAAATAATTTATTTTAATTAAAATCAATTTCAAATTTGTGTATTCGATTATTTCCTGAATCAACAACATAAAGATTTTCTTGTTGATCAAATGATAAACCCATTGGATAAAATAATTGATTCAATTCGTTTCCATATCCATTTCCACCAACAATAATACTTCCTTTCGTTGTTCCTTCGAGCCAACACATGACTCGATTATTTCCATGATCTGCTACATAAATTTGATTAAACTGATCAACAAGAATTCCTTGAGGACCCGATAATTGTTTAAAACTATTTCCTTCTCCATTTCCACCAGCAACAATAATTCCTTGTTTTGCATCCTTTAACCATTTCATTACACGATGATTTGCACAATCTGATATATATAATGAACAATCGTTATCAACAAAAATAAAACTAGGATGATTAAGTTGATTTAAATTTGTTCCTTTTCCATTTCCACCTGCCACTAATTTTCCATTTTCATCTCCAATTTTCCATTTTCTTACTTCATGTTTCTCACCATCAGCAACATAAATAAATTCATATTTATCAATTGCTAAACCATGACAATTTATATTAGAAATAATTATTTTTTCAGTTCCATTATTTTGACGAGGCCATTGCATGATTCGTTTATTTCCATAATCACTAATAATAAAGCAATCATTTTCTTTATCAATAATCACATCTTTTGGATAACACAATTGATTCATTTGTTTTCCTTTTCCATTTCTACCAGCAACAGTTTCACCATAATGTTCATTTAATTTCCATTTCATAATACGATCATTTTGAGAATCAACAATATAAATTATTTTATCATCATCTTTATCGATCAACATACTTGAAGGATTCTTTAGTTGATTCAATTCATTTCCTTCGGTAATATCAATTCCAAATTCTTTCCATTTCATATCTAAATGAAATTATATATAATGATCGATCTATCTTTTAATGGTCAAGCTTAGAAAAAAATTGATTCCAGATTCACAAATCCGATAACGGATCCGACAGAATCTTGTAAGATCCGGCCATCCTACAGAATCCTATTGGATTGATCGACCTGGGATTTTATGCACATGTCAAACTCAAAGAGTTACTTCAACTATTCAATCTATTAACAGCTAAGAAATTAATAATGAGACTGAAGATTGCTCGTTTCGTATTCGCTTTCATGATACAACTCTTTTAGAAACTATTGTAATCTTTGATTACAAGTAATGCTTGTCTAAAGACTCGCTCAGCCCTTTCTCGTAGAAATCGTATTTCTAAACTACCACCAACCTATTCACTTATAAAATTAAATAAAACCGAGATCAGATTCGAGTTCCTCCACCCTGTTTACCTTTGATCAAACTTTATAAGAAAAACATATTTTTCATAAAAAGTGGTCTATGTGTAAAAAAAAAGTGATCCTCAAAAGAATTTTAAAAACCTGACCTCAGATTCCAAATCTCTACCTTTGATTACCTATGATCAATTTTTGAGAAAAGTAATCCCTTTTGTTTTCACTTTATTCTTGGACCAATCAGAGAAGTACGGACATGTAAGCAAGCAGACAATTTATGTTTGTAAGACTCTTTTCTACGAGAAAAAGAACGTTTTCATTAATTGAGATCTTCTTACTAGATCGATCAATGAGATTAATTTTGTTGATAAATAATGTTGTAATTTCTTCAATGAAAATATGGCTTGGTTCATTAAGTTCTTTAGTTAATTTAATTAATTTTTGTTTGAGTTCATTCGAAGAATTTTCATTGAATTTTTTTCTCTTACGAATTTGTTTCAATTGTTCATTTAAAGAAAATAATTTATAATCTATTTGTCTAAATGATTTCTTCATAGATTTAATAAAATTTTGTCGACATTTTTCAGCCCTTTCTTTTATTTTAAAGATGGAATCATTTTCCCATTGATCAATTTGTTTCATCAATGAATGTTCTTGTAGATTTTGTTTATGTTGAATAAATTCTTGTAGAAATAAATCTCGATCTTTTTCAATTTCATCCATTTGTTCAATAAGTTTTTGATGATATTCGGTCGAAGAATCTTTTTCATTTATAAAACATTGTGTTGTGTTACTTGCCATCGTTATGTGTGAAATTATTCGAGAGAAAGATCAAATGTAATTATGCAAGAAAAACTGAATGTGTCGTAATATATGTAATAACAAAAACTGAGTCATCGATAAAAATGACATATCTGAGTAAGAATATTTTTCTTTCTCTTGAAAATTGAAAAAAAACAACTATCGCTTATCTATAGAATATTGTCACATTTACTCTTCTTTTCTATTTAGTGTTAAGATGTATAGAGAATTTTCTCGATTCGAGTTGATACGTTTTTCGGATTTCCAGGAAATTGAGTTGTGCCTCAACTTATGGAATACATCTGTATTATCCGTATTGGCCGTATTGGCTGTATAGGCCCTATTCGGAAATTTTCATAAACCAATTTCCTAATACAGAAATCCATTTCCTGCCAACATTTTCTGTTTCTACAGACAGCAAACATATTTCATAACACGGAAATCAATTTCCAGCAAGTAATTCCGGCTTTCCACAACAAAAGATTCTCTGACGCTAAAAATGATTTCCTACAGCTACTTTGTATTCCCCAAAATCAAAACCAGTTTCTAAGAACCATTTCATAGTTCCTCGAGACATTTATGGGGCTTCTATAGAGTAGTTAACAACTTCCGAGGCTGAAAGTGAATTATACATAGTAATTTACAATTTCCCAGATGTAGACCAATTTCCTAACTTAATAATTCGCTTCAACTGCATATTCTGAGTGTGACAGCCATTCAAACCTGACCGTAAGAAAGACTTTCCATATTCATAAACACAAAATCAATTTCCTAACCATAATATTAATTCTAAATATATCTTCAAGCATCATTAATGAACGCGCATACTCTTAGGGACGTCCCATATCTGTATTTCAACCTCACGCTCATTTGAAGACATACCTTTCTGTGTCTCGCCATCACACTCAATCTCTCAATGAGGTAGATGCTTTGTATGTGTCTTTCACCCTCATTCAGAGATATCCCATGTATGTGTCTTTTGCCCTCACCCTCACCCAGGCATACTGCATGTATGTGTCCTTCGCCCTCACCCTCATTCAGACATATCTCGTGCATGCGTCTTTCGCCCTCACCCTCATTCAGACCAGTGTCCGACTCGGGTCGGATCCAGTTATGCTCGGGTCGGGTCACGATAAACAGACCCGAGGTCAAATTTCACATAAGGTAAACAGGAGTTGGGTGGGTGTGGGTTGATGAATCAGGTACCAACTCCCACACCCATCATGTGCTTTTGTATTTTT